AGTGAGGAGTTTCTTACCGCGAGGCATGGTGAACAAGGTGTACTAAAATGGCATTCCCACAATGCATCACTTAGTCCCAGATTTTTTCCTACCATGCACACCGACCACACACACACCCATTCTCTCACATCTAGGCCTACCAGCCTTTTCCCGCTTGATTTGAAGGTGCTAGAATTTGTGTGTACTAGTACGTCAGCAACTCTGGCACGTAAGCCGTACTAGTATGTCGGAAACCCTGAAAGGGTTAAGGGCTAAGTAAAATCTAATACAGTGGACCCTCGCCTAACAAACGCATTGCATAGTGTTAAATTCGCCTAACGATACATTTTAAAGCTAACATTTTGCCTCGGCTAGCACTAAAAAACTCGCATAACGATATTCGTTCTCGGGTACCTATTAATATCATTAGGCGAGGGTCCACTGTAGGTGCTTTTTAATGATGTGAGTAAAGCTGTTAGCAGATTGTTAAATTATGGCATATTCAGGCAGTGAGTTTCATATTTTGAGCCTTTTTATTTGCATAGAATTTGTATTATGTTCATGTGTTCTGTTGCAGCTCACCAGAGAAAGTTTAAGCTCTGGGTTAATGTATGTACTTATTGTCCTGTGTACAGTGTTCACAGTATTAATTATGAAAATTATTCACAGTACAGTGGTCCCTCGTTTTTCATAATTATTCCATTCCTGGAAGTGTGATTATTATCGAAATTGATGATTTTCGAATCAATTTTCCCAATAAGAAATAATGTAAATACAATTAATCCGTTCCATCTCAACACCTGAACCGCATTCTCTTTGCTGACGACACGACTTATGTCATCTCTCACCCTAATCTTGCCACCCTCAACACCATTGTTAATGAGGAGCTGATCAAAATATCGACTTGGATGACAGCCAATAAACTTATGCTTAACACTGACAAAACCTACTACATTATGTTTGGTAGCAGAGCAGGAGATGCGCAAATTAACATTAAGATCGGCAACACTCTAATTGCCAGGCATAATGAGGGCAAATTCTTAGGCCTATACCTCGACAACAACCTGAACTTCGCACCCATATCCAACACATAACCAAAAAAGTATCCAAAACGGTTGGGATCCTCTCCAAGATACGATACTACGTGCCGCAAACTGCCCTTCTCACACTATACCATTCACTTATATATCCATACCTTACCTATGCTATTTGTGCTTGGGGTTCAACTGCAGCAACACACCTAAAGCCAATAATAACCCAACAAAAAGCCACAGTAAGAATAATCACTAAATCCCATCCCTGGCAACACACCCCCCCCCCACTCTTCATAGATCTAAACTTACTCCCTGTTCAGTACATCCACACTTACTACTGTGCAATCTACATCTACAGGACCTTAAATTCCAATATTAACCTTGACCTAAAATGCTTTCTTGATAGTTGTGACAGAACCCACAGGCACAACACCAGACACAAACATCTCTATGACATTCCCCGTGTCAGACTAAACCTTTACAAAAATTCAATGTATGTCAAAGGCCCTAAAATCTGGAACACCCTACCTGAAAATTCTAAAACTGCAGACACATTCATCACCTTCAAAACTACCATCAGAAAACATCTTATCTCCCTGATACACCCTGTCAACTAATTACACGAATACCACCTGGTGGTTAACACTTACACTCACTCACCCATTTGACCATAAACAGAAATATCAATCTCAATCTCAAAATAATGAATCTTAACTAGTCATAAGTTGGCCTGTGATACTCCAATACTGAAACTATGTATAGTGCCACAACAAAACTAGTATTTAGTCACTTAGCCATAATACCAACTTACCTCATAATTTTGTAATATTTTAAACTTAAGATTTAATTTAAGTCTGCCCGAAATGCCTAGCCATGCTAGGTGTTCTAGTGGCACACTCTGTAATTATTAATTTACTGCATGTAAACCACACAATAACCAAATTCTGTAAACTCAGCATTGTAATCCTTATAGAGAATAAACGTTGAATTTGAATTCCTGACACCCAGAAGTATTAAAACAAAAAAATTTTTTACATGAAATATAGATGTAGTACATAAACAATACAATGGGACATGATGAATGAAACATTAACAGCATAACACTTACCTTTATTGGCGATTCTTCTTAGTGTATGGAAGACTGGAGGAGGAAAGAGATTGGATTAGTTACAGTTTAGAAGGGGAATCCCTTTCCATCATCACCTCAGGCACCAAGTGCTTTTCTGGGGTTACTTCTCTTCTCTGTTTCTTAATGCCACTAGGACCAGCTTGAGAGTCACTGGAGCCCTGTCTCACAAAAACAGTCTCCAGAGAGCTCTGTTTCTGACGTCTCTTTAAAACTTCCCTAAAATGGGCCAAGACTTCGTCACTGTACATGTTGCCAACATGGCTTGCAACAGCCTTGTCAGGGTGATGTTTCTCCATAAATCTTTCCATCTTACCCCACATTTCAAAAATCTCCTTAATTTCTGAAGAATGCAACTTCTTCCATCTCTCTTCCTCTTCCTCTGCAGCAAGATTCTGAGCTGCGATCTGTTGCTGTTCCTACTGAAGCTCTTGCTGCTCCTCAGTGGTGAGCTCTTCATTGTGGTCTTCCACCAACTCTTCCACATCCTCCAAACTCACATCCAACCCCATGGAACTCCCCAGTGCCACAATAGATTTCACAACTGACATAGGCTCATCAGGGTCAGCCACAAACCCTTCAAAATCTCTCTTGCGGACACAATCTGGCCACAATTTTCTCCAAGCAGAGTTCAGAGTCCTGGTAGTCACTCCCTCCCAAGCCTTACCTATAAGGCTTATGCAATGGAGGATACTGAAGTGTTCTTTCCAAAAATCTCTTAGGGTCAAGTGAGTGTCTGAGGCCACATTAAAGCACCTTTGAAACATTGCTTTGGTGTAGAGTTTTTTAAAGTTTGAAATGACCTGCTGGTCCATGGGCTGGAGGAGAGGAGTGGTATTCGGGGGCAAGAACTTTACTGTGATGAGCCCAAACTCCTCCAAAATTAGGTCATCCAAGTTTGGAGATGAGCAGGTGCATTATCCATTACTAGGAGGCACTTGAGATCCAGTTTCTTTTCCAGGAGGTAATTCTTCACACTAGGGCCAAACACTTCATTGAACCACTCAACGAAAATTTCCCTCGTGACCCATGCCTTATTATTAGATTTCCAAAACACACACAATTTACTCTTCATAACATTGTTTTTCCTGAACACACTGGAATTTTCAGAATGGTACACTAGTAACGGCTTCACTCTGAAATCCCCACTAGCATTAGCACAGAACATGATCGTCAGCCTGTCTTTCATAGGCTTGTGTCCTGGCAGTCCCTTTTCCTCCTGAGTAATGTAGGTCCTCTTTAGCATTTTCTTCCAAAAGAGGCCTGTTTCGTCACAATTGAACACTTGTTCAGGTTTCACTCCTTCAGCCTCTATGTACTCCTTGAATTCACTTATGAATTTTGTAGCTGCAATTTTGTCCGAACTGGCAGCCTCACCATGCCTTACCACAGCGTGTATGCCACTACGGTTCTTAAATCTCTCAAACCAACCTTTGCTGACCTTAAATTCACAAAATATCAGTACTCGTTGCAGGCAATTTCTTTACCAGATCGTCGTGCAACTGCCTAGCCATTTCACAAATAATTGAGGTCATAAGACTATTTCCTGCTAATTGTTTCTCATTTATCCACACCAATAATAACTTCTCAACATCTTCGAGTACTGTTGATCTCATTTTTGTCAGCATATTTACCCCCTTTGCAACAACAGCTTCCTTGATTTCCTTTTTCTTGGCCACAATGGAAGCTATGGTTGTATGTTGTTTGTTATACATCCTGGCCAGTTCTGCCACACATACGCCACTTTCATATTGTTCAATGATGTTTTTCTTAAATTCAATCGTATTTCTCACCTTCTTTACCAAAGCCTTGGCACTAGGAGCTTTCGATGGAGCCATGGTAGCTTATTTAGTAGTTGCAAGCACTAAAATGAATGGAATATTATGAAATATTTTGTATGAACAAGTGAGGGGGCCGTCGCTCACTGGTAAACAATGGCACACTAGCTGGGAACGGCTCAGAGCCGTGAGTACGCGTCCCAGATGAACGCCTATTCGCGAGTCAAATGACGATTAGCGAGCCAATTTCTTGACAAAAAAAAAGTTACGATTTTCGAAAATTACGACTGTCGATCCTTACGATTATCAAGGGACCACTGTATTAATTATGAAAATTTTGAGTATTCGCCATGCATTGTTTGGAACCTGAATGAATTTTTGCAGAGGTGTGCAGACATCATAATTCAGATAGATCTTATAACTAATACTGTATAATATTTCTTTTCCAGTTTAGGAGGCCTGGTCTGAGACTGGGCCACAGGGAGGTTGATCTCTGAAACCATTAACGGATAAACCTACCATGGTCGCAAGCTCCTGTTGCATCATTATCATCTACTGATTTGAGCATTCTTTTCAGCTTATCACACTGCAGACATCATCTCTTCTTTCAAACTGGCCATATCCCACCAAGGCAGGGTGGCCCAAAAAGTTTTTCTTCATAACTTTAGTAATGTATACAGGAGATGGGGTTACTATCCCCTTGCTCCCAGCATTTAAGTTGCCTCTTACAATATGATTACCCCTATTCTTTTTATTTCAGTGTACAGTACGCTACTGTATAACCATTACAGATATACTAGAAATGTTATAAATGGTGCAAAGGTGGCATTAAAACAATATCAAAGATGGTTGACACAAACTCACTACCATTATAGTATGCTCCTCACTTAGTGACAGATTTGTTTAATGACATGGTCTCAGGAATGGAACTCCGTCGTTAAGTGAGGAGAGGCTGTATTGACAAAAACTGAAGCTGAATATCTACATCGAAGCATCAGTTAGATGCAGTTTGCAACTGTAAAAACATAAATATTATTATGAAGATGAATAATGTATTTTTAACATTAGTCCTCCTCTTTCCAGCTGATATTCTTCATAGGTGGATGGATGTGGTTTGTCAAGAAGATCTTCCGGGATTATGAGGTCCACAATACCTTAGTACAACTGTTCTTCCCAATGATCTTCATGCTTTCATGTGCTATGTTTGAGCTTATTATCTTCGAAATTGCTGCAGTTCTGGAGTCAGGGTAAGGTGATACGTTTGTGTATTGTACAGTGGACCCTCAGTTAATGATATTAATCCGTTCCAGAGAGCTTATCCTTAACCAATTTTGTTGTTATCCAAATTAATTTTCCCCATAAGAAATAATGGAAATTCAATTAATCCATTTCAGACATCCAAAAGTATTAAACAAAATAATTTTTTTACATGAAATATTCATTTCCCTACACAGAAAACAATGATACATGAAGACTAAAACAATAATAACATCACACTTACCTTTATTGAAAACATGGAGATGTATGGAAGATAGGAGGAGGGGAGAGGATGGAGGAGTTTACAATTGTTTGGAAGGGGAATCCCACTCCATAAAGACTTCAGGTACCAAGTCCTTATCCTGGGTTACTTCTCTCCTTTGTTTTTTAATGCCACTAGGACCAGCTTGAGAGCCACTGGACCCCTCTCACTCAAAAAAGTTTTCCAGAGAGGTCTGTTTCTGGCATATGTTAGGAATTGTGTTGGGAGAAACAAGATAGTCCTTCAATATGACACTAATGTCAGCTCTATGGCTTATTTATCTAGCACAATTTATCTAATATGACATAATAAACAATATTAACCCTTTGACTGTCGAAAGGCCCAATCCTGAAGTCTCTCCTGGTGTCGCAAAATATTCAAAAAAAAAAAAAAAAAAAAATTCTTATAAAAATGTTAAGATTATTTTTCTTATTGTTTTAGTTCAAAAAAAAAAAAAAAACTTTTCCCATCAGTATTTACCAAGATATAGAGGCGTGGAGTTTGCCGAAAATGATCTGTGAGTGGCAACAGCGACGACTGCTGCTCACCCGGTAAACTTTGATTTACTTATATTCGATGGTTTCTTGTTTTTTTCACTACTTTATTTTTTCACGCAACTTTTGTGGCCTGTGAGGCCAAATTATTGTGCAATGTTCAAATATACACTCGTTGAATGTAACACAGTTATAGCAAAAACACTCATATCATTATAATGTTGCTAAAACTTGTTTACACAAACAATATAAAAAATTGTTTATTACGATTGTTCTATAATATATATACCTATGTACAATCACTGGACACTTTTCTAGAACTGCTGCAGCTTGTGGAATTCTTTGAAACATGGGCATAAGCACAATGGTGTTTTACACTCCTCACACACAAAACGAGTGTCTCTGCATTTTTGTGGACGTTTTGTGGTATGTCCACAGACAAAACACCTTTTCTGAGCATTTTTCTTGAGAGCAGTAGCAGACAGTGGTATGGGGTAGTGATCACCAGGCCTCAGACGAGAGGACCTGTGTTGATAATTTCGTGGGCGCTGGTCTATTGCAGGTGTAGGCATGATCTTGGTGAAAGAATAGTGTTTGCCATGGTGTACTCAAAGTATGTATTGCTTTCCCTGACAATAATGTCCATCAGGGGCTCATCGAAGAACAACTGAAAGCATTCCAGTTCAGTGGCATTGTTCCCAAGTGTACATGATGGCCGTATTCCACTTTGTCCTCCATCAAAGTCATGAGGACTGGGAACAAACTCGTCACCTTGCTGCCAATCCCAGATGCGGTCAGCTGGTGGGTTCTGGATATTGTAATGTGGTTGTGGTTGTTGTGGGAGTGTGGGGTCGGGTGAGGCTGGTTGTAGTTGTGCAGAGTCAGCAACATGGGTAGTAGTGTGGCCCGCTGCTGGTGTCACATGACTTGTGCCACCATCACTATCACCACCACCGCCTGCTGCCTCACTCGCATCATTGATACCCATCGTAACAATATCGTCATCTTCACTATCAGGTCATGGTGTAGGGCCATGGGATGTGCTCCGAGATGTACTCTTTCCTCTTGGAAGAGCATATGGCACACTACCAAACCGCATGCGACATCATATATACTGCCACTTCACTGGGGAATATTCACCCTCACTGTCACAACTAGTACTGCTTTCAATAACCTTGAAATCACTATCGCTATCACTTACACTGCTCACATCTGAGTCTTGTACACGGGCAAATAGTTTCCTCTTTCGTCCTGGTACAGGTGAACATGAACGAACTGGCCCAGCACCAGAAATGGAAGGTTGTGGGTCATCTGGGTTTTCATCACTAATTACGTTATCCTGGGCACTTTTTTCGGTCACACCCGCTTCAAAACCAGGGAATTCACTTTCACTGACACTTTCATCGCTGTTTGAGCTATCACTTGGGAACAAAAGACCTCCAATCCGCTGAGGAGTGAGGAACTTCTTACCGCTAGGCATGGTGAAAATGGACTACCAAGATGACGTTCCCACAATGCACTGCTGAGTCCCAGATTTTTTTCACAGGGTGCACACCCACCACTGAGACCCATTCTCTCTCATGTAGGCCTACCAGCCCTCTCCTGCTTGATTTGAAGCCGCTAGAATTTATGCGTATAGATACGTCAAACACGGTGTCTTCCATGACGTATATATACGACCGCGACAGTCAAGGGGTTAATAACATAGAAATATGACATATTCTCTAGAATGAATAAAATACGTCATTATGTCACGAGTGTTACTGTGTTGTTGTTGTTGGGTGTATAAGGGCCACTGAGAGCATAAGCTGTACATAGTGGTGATGTAGGCAGTAGAGACGGCGGTGTTGTCAGTCGCCCTACATAACTCCAACAACATTAAAGGAGTTAGGTTTGTGCTGTCCTTTTTCTGTCGATTAATTACCTAACTTGCTACAGTTAATGCTACACTTTATTGCTGGCTGGCACTATAGCCTTTATAGACTCCTGCTGCTTTAGTATCACACATATTGCAAAATCACTGAAAAAGGCACATTTTCCCCTCTCTCTCAGCCCTTTTCCAAAGGGCTGGCTGGCACTAGAAGCTTTCTTTGGGCCCATGGTGGCTTATTTAGCACTTACAAGCACTAAAAAAATGGAATAATACAAAATGTATAACATGTAAATGTGGAATTGTCTGCAGTGGCTTGTAAACAATGGCACACTAGCCACGCTGGAGTGGCTGGATGGCTCAGGCCACGCGGACTCGTTCTGGACAAATGTCCTTAACTGAGTTTTTTATCGTTAGCCGAACCAATATTTTGACGCAAAAATGTATCGGTATCCAATTTTATTGCTATCCGATGGCATCATTAACTGAGGTCCACTGTACATACTTTTGAATATGCTTAATCTAGTTGAACACCATATTTGTAAGGGTTATTTTCCTTAAAGTCCAGCGAATAATACAAAAATTGTCTGCGTGATCAATTTGGTTTTTGAATGTAGACTCAGTTTGTGTTCCAGATGCCATCTCTCTTTAAATATCTCTCTAATCTCATTAATATTGATATTCATAAAAAGGAATAACTAATAAAAAAGAGATTAGGGCATGGAAATCCATTGAGCACATTCTGAACAAAATCGTGTGGTTAGTTTTCAACTTAATTAACCCGTAACTTGTCCAAACGTTTTTATACGTTCACTACCCCAAGTGCCCCGAATATTTTGAAAAATAAAAAAATCGTTGTTTAATGAAAATAAAGAGCACATTTTTCCAAGCGTTATGGGATAAAAAAAATTAAGGTTAGCACTTACAGAGATATGAGGGCAAGAAGTTGGCACTGGATGCTCACATGACAGCAACATTGAGTACTGCCCCTTGCAGAAGTGTTGCCAATATATCTTTTTTTCTATTTTTCATATTTTATATAATTTTTATGTTCTGATAATTAAAATTTTTCGTAGTTCTTGTAATTTCATAACCAATCTTTGTTCTGACACTAGTATTAGGTATTGAAATTGTACTCAAATTGTCACAAACAAACTGACAGGTGGACATTTACACCTGCCTTGGCCATTTACTGTTGTCTTGGAATATATACAAAGTATTTATATGTCCCAGCAATGTTTTGGATATGTGGAAGTAAAGAAGAAGAAGGAGAAGGAGAAGAAGAAGGAGAAGGAGAAGAAGAAGAAGAAGGAGAAGAAGGAGAAGAAGAAGGAGAAGAAGGAGGAGAAGAGAGAAGAAGGAGGAGAAGGAGGAGGAGAAGGAGGAGGAGAAGGAGGAGGAGAAGGAGGAGGAGAAGGAGGAGGAGAAGGAGGAGGAGGAGAAGGAGGAGGAGAAGAAGGAGGAGAAGAAGGAGGAGAAGAAGGAGGAGAAGGAGGAGGAGAAGAAGGAGGAGAAGAAGGAGAAGAAGAAGAAGAAGGAGGAGGAAGAGGAGGAGGAAGAAGAGGAGGAAGAGGAGGAAGAAGGAGGAGGAAGAAGGAGGAGGAAGAGGAGGAGGAGGAAGGAGGAGGAGGAGAAGGAGGAGGAGAGAGGAGGAGAGAGGAGGAGGAGGAGGAGGAGGAGAAGGAGGAGGAGGAGGAGGAGGAGAAGGAGGAGGAGGAGGAGAAGGAGGAGGAGAAACTTTACCAACAGCTTAAGGAAGAATTGAGGATGGCGAATATGGAAATTCGGCGACTGACCGAGGAAAACAAAAAGATTCGTAGTAGTCCTCCTGTTTTGAGTCCTCAGGTCAAGAAGGGAAACTGGTCAGTGGCTGGACAGCAGGGAAAGAAGTTGACGATCAAGAAGACGAATGGAAAGGTAGAAATGATGAAAGAGACTGCCATGGAAACTGTTGTGAAAACATCTAATACATTCTCAGTGCTACCCGACGAATGTGAGTCAACTACTGGGAACGTCACGACGAACGACACCAAGGTAGGTACGAATATTGTTGTTGTTGGGGATAGCCAAGTAAGGTATATGGATAGGGCGTTCTGCTTGAAGGACAGGAGTAGGAGACACAGAGTTTGCTTTCCTTGGGCTGGGATGGAGGATATTGTTAGCCGTCTGGATGACATAAGAGATAAGATAAGATTTCGTTCGGATTTTTAACCCCGGAGGGTTAGCCACCCAGGATAACCCAAGAAAGTCAGTGCGTCATCGAGGACTGTCTAACTTATTTCCATTGGGGTCCTTAATCTTGTCCCCCAGGATGCGACCCACACCAGTCGACTAACACCCAGGTACCTATTTGCTGCTAGGTGA